TAATGAAGTTAAAAAGTTCGAAATTTTGGACCATACCTGCAGCAATAAGAAATGCAGGCCAATAAATGCCATGGAACTTCAAAATATCTTTTCCGATTACTTGTACGTTTGGTGGCCAAAATTTGCGATACTAAAAGAGAAAATTTGGACAATTAGCAATGGTCATTAAGCGAGCAAGAAATTTTCGCCTACTTTTTTATCTGGATAACCCGCTGATGTAAGATAATTTATTAGCGCATCTAACCATACATAGACAGTTTGTGTTTCATCGTCGGGTACGGGGATAGCCCAATGTACACGATTCGCAGGACGCGAAACCGAAACATCTGGTAGGGATTCACTTAACATGTCCAAGAGTATTTTTTCAAACTTTTTTGGACGTACATGACCACCTTTTTTAACCCAATATATGACATTTTCTTGTATCTCTGACAAACGGAACATATAATTTGTCTCCTCAGTCCATTCAACAGGATGACCCGACTCGAGCGAGAAACGAGCACCCGTTGCTGTGTCTAACCGCAATTGAGAATCGGTAAGAAAAGTCTCATCCGAAACGCAATACCAACCACTGTATGCGGCTGAATAAATGTGGCCAAGCTTGTGTAAAGTTCGCTGCAAGCGCACAATTTTAAGAAAAAAAGAATAGCTTTGCATATTTAGAAAGCGATATTACATACATACAATTTACCCAAAACTGCGCAACCGCCTGCTTATGCCGCTGCTCGGTGGTACGTATGAAATCCGTATTAGCTATACCAACTTCTTTGAAAACTTGCCGATAACGTCCAGAGATTTCATCACAATATTGGGCAACTGGTACACTTTGCGCTGCCGCTGCTTGCTGAATTTTTGTGCCATGTTCGTCGGTTCCTGTGCAAAGATGCACCTGCGTTTGAGGCTGTCGCAAACGTTGATATCGAGACAGAGCATCTGCTATTACAGCCGAATAAAGGTGTCCAATATGTGGGGCTGTTGTTAAATAATAGTCATTTGTGAATTGGATGTACATACATATAGGCAGAAGATAGCCGCTACTTACCGGCATTGACGTAGAAAATTGGAGTAGTAGCATAGAAAGTGCCGCTGGCTTGCACACAGTAGCGCCTCAAAGAACTTAAATTATTTATTACCATGACATTCATTAAAAATTCGCATTTGATTAAAAATTAGTTAAAATCGTACCGCAGTATGAAGATGAAATGCTTTGACAGCTGCGAAACAGCTGTTTTTATTTATGTTTAGCTCAGGCACAAACCTTGAGGAAACACCACAGGGTTGCATGCGCACGTACTAAAATTAATAAAAAAATCAATTCCGAGAAAAAAAGTTTTAAACAAAAGTTACGAAAAAATATACATCCGGTCAGTTTAAACCACTTCCGGTCGAACCCGGTTGTCGGTAATACCACCAAAAGATAGAGCATCCCCTACTTGGTGATGCATGTTTTCTGTTTTTCCATAAAAAACATTTTTGTATGTTTTAGAAGTCCCTTAGGGGTTGAAAAAGCCACTTCCGAGAAAAAAGTTTCAAACAAAAGTTAAGAATTTGTATCCTCAGAATCTGAACCAGTAGAAAAATATGTACATATGTCAAATTAAAAAAATATATATTTCCGGTCAGTTTAACCCACTTCCGGTCGAATTCGGAAGTCAGTAATACCACCACAAAGATAGAGTATTCCTGATTTGGTAGGTAATATTTTAACGTTTATCAATAAAAAAAAAACATTACCATCCATTTTAGAGGGAGTGGACGGTTGGTCTAGGACAGCCTTTTGCACTTAGGAGCCGGTGTGGCACATTTATGTCGGTGCTAGATGAGGGATGACATCAAGAGTCAGCAATGAAGGGTGAAGAAGACCGCCATAAAATGTCTTGTACTCCGACTCTCATTACTAATATATGCATATGATGCTTTTAACGAATTTTTTTACCCTCTTGCGTAGCACTTGCGGGCTCTTTGACTGCTTTAAGAGCCAAAAATGTGCCCATCCTTGGCCTAGGACGCCCCGTATAAATCCCATTCGATAAAAATATTAAATTTAAAAACAAAAAAAAATCCCAATCTCTTTTCCAATATTATTACCTTAGGGGGTTGTGAACGTTCAAAGGGTTGAAGATATGTACGTTTTGAAATTATTTTGCTGCAACGTCCATTCTTGCCTTAGCACGTGATTTTTTATGTTTTGAGTATACTGTTTACCTAATGAACGGCTAATCAAATGTCTTTAACCTCTCTTGATGCGTTTTCTTCCTGTTGTCGTTTTTAATGAGACAGAAAAAAGAGCAGAAATCTCATGAAACACTTTTCAAGCAGCAATCCTTAGTTGTTCTTCTTGTGCTTTCCATTTAAAAAGTTTCCAAGTTTTAATAAACTTAGCTAAATTTCTTTTTTATGTCGTTAAAATTTGTTCTTGAATTCTTGACAGCTGGTTCTGTCAGAAAAATGTGTTTGCTTGCTCTAAGGTACTCCACCAAAAAAGCTCTTGCAATCACCCTAGTGCTTTCAGTTACCCTAGTCCACTTATCGCAGGATCATTAAACAAAAAGTAGATTAATTTAGAGCAAGAAAAATCCTCATGAAACAGAATTTTTTGAGGTCTCTTAACCTGACGTAAACCTAGAACAGCACATTAAACACAACTATTAAGAGCGATGGTGAAGAGTCACCGGTGGACCCATTTCAAGTGTTTATGGGTTTGATGAAAATTAAATTTAAGTTGAAACCCAGAAGAAAAAAGATATACTTTTTTGGGCCTCCTCTTGAAGAATTCTTAGGTTTTTATGAGAAAATAAAAAACTAAATGTTTGTACATTAATTTTATGAAAAAGTAGTTTATTTGTGTCATCACTTTTAGAATTATAATTTACATTTTAACTCCCTATAAATATTTTTTATATATATGTAGCATATATATTTTCTTTGTCGTTTTAACTAATTTATTTATTTTCTTTATTCAGTATAACACAATTCATAACTTTAAGCCTAATAGTATGTAGTTGTAATCATATTTATACTGATGTGTGTACCTTTTCGCACTCACAATCAAAAGTAGAATTTTCAGCACACTCAGACTGACGGTTAAATACTAGAAAAATACATTGAGAGATGTGTGTTCTTTTATTTTTGATAAAGTTGCATATATGCAAGTGTGTATGTATGCATTTTTCATTAACTTTTGGAATTGCTGACGAGGCGCAAAGGTTCTTGCAAATTTATATACAGACAGGTTCTGCAATTCACTTCCGAGTGAATTTCAACCCCATTTACATATTAGAAATAATGGAGTGCATTTTTTGTTATAATTTTATTTATTTTTAATAACTGAGTGGGAGAAAGGATAACTCGAAAATATTTTTCAGACAAATTTCGACTGTACGTAAAAATTTCGAGACGTTTTACAGTTAATGGAATACCTCTAGGATGTTCAACACTTTTTTTTTAATTTTTGGTGTTGAGCTTGACAAAGCGGTTTGAGTCATTCGAAGCAAACACACACAATTGACAATTAAATTGCGAATATTTCTATTTACTAGTTACAACAAACTTGCATTACAGCTTGCTAATAAAATTTATTGATTTTAAATAATTAACTTAAAGTTTTTTCGTTTTAATTCAGTATACATATCGTAGTTTAAAGTAACTGACATTTTTTTCCAAAATTTGGATTTGCTCACACAAGCTTTTGGCTCAAGCCTTATCCATTCGTCTTGAAATATATTAGCCAGAAATGCTAAACGACGATATGTATGCATGTATATATTATGTATGTATATACTTATACCATTCATCGTCTCACTTATATTTATAGCAGCTAAAGAAATCTCAGTGCACTTGTTGATTTCTTTGGCTTCGTTTTTTACACTTAGGAGAATGAATTTAAAATAATGTCGAATAAAATAAATATCTTTCAGAAGGTAATACGGAGCCCTGCAAAACAGTCAAATTTCTTTTTAAAGTCTTTCTCAAGAAAAATTAAGAAATAAACTGTTAAGCTTAAAGGTTATTTTATAAAATGCTTATTGGTGAAAAGCTGCCAAATTTATTTGTCATTTTTATAAGGGCAGGCAGTGTTTTTGAATACTAATACACAAAATAATAAAATTTAAGATGGCTCGTAAGGGTATTTGAGCACCACTATCATTACAAATAAAATTTAATGGCGGATATGGAAAATAATGGTTACGAAATAATCTTACGAATAGTTTCAGCTGATCAAGTAATATTTATAAAACAAAGCTTTTTGAAGCAAAAAACTTTTTAAAAGTCTTTACAATTTGAGATTAGCTAATGGTTGTTCTAATAGCGGTCACCCTCGTCAGGCAATGGCAACCCCCCGAATGTATGTCTGCCATGATGCCATGAAAAAAGCCATTCGACGTTCTGAGACGGCGTAAAACTCTATTGAAATTTTATCAGTCAATTTTATAAGCTTTAGATATTAATCCCGAGAGTCTAAAATTGAAGCGCTTTCGAAATATGTATATACATACAATTTTTTTAATATTTTTCAGCTTTTTTTGGAATTTGAAAAATTTACCTAGTTCGAGAACCAAATTGTATTCTTAAAAATAACTGCTTTTGGAAAATTTTATTCTTAAAATAACTGCTTTTGGAAAATTAATATAAAAAGTCGTAAAAGTTTGTTCCTAACTAGGGGAAAAAATTGTCAATGTTGGTTATGAGCGCAGCTTTCGAATGTGTAAGAAAATTTATAAAATTTATGCACTTTTAAAATTTTAATTTCGACAGGTTCATTTGATGCTTAACATATATGCAGGAATTATATATCAAAATCAAAAGATTTTCAGTATTATTATTTAGGTAATTAATGGTTATGAAAACTAAAATTTGAATTTTTAATTCTAGCATTTAAAAAAAGTAATTTGTCATTAAAAACAAAATAAGCCCGAAAATGTTTCATCGGTTTTTAACGTTCTTACCGGGATTCTTATTCCGTTTTTTGAAGCTTTCACCGTTTTAAGAGCTTATATTTCTTTTTTTGTTGGTTTTTTAAGCATGCCAATATAGGTTTACAGCTGTCGTACTAGTAGTAGTCCAATATGTCTTGATTCTAAAGCGGTGATGGGCACCGCCTTACCCGCGGGCAAAACTCTTTTGAGCTTTTACTCCACAGACAGTGCCCGTCAATGATCTAAAGCAACTAATCGCCGTTATTTTCACAAAGACCGCACAAAAGTTTCTCTCAAAAATAGAAGTTACAAAATAATACGGGTATTCACCACATTGAGCAAGGGACCTGGCAATCGGGCAAATGAGCTTATTAGATCAAACCAACGAATGTGGTGGGAACCCCTAAAGATTTTGTTTCCACCAGAGTTGTATGAATAAAATTATTGCCACTGAATTCATATTCTGCATACATTGAGATACTTGAAAATTAAAATACCTATACTTTACAAACAAATACATGCACACATTTAACTTAATTTTAAATAAATGTACAGAGCTTAAAATTACGATTTTCATAAACTACAACGCACAAGCTGAAAGTAAAAAAAATGCATTTTACAAAAACTGAATTGAATATTAGGATTATACACAGTCTACTATCTTTAGGCGCACAATATTCGTACAATTTACATACAACTACAATGGTTTCGTTCGACGTTAGAATATGCCAAGGAATGAATATCACTTTTGAATTGAATTAGTTTTTTTCGTCTAATAATTTTTCTGCTTAATTACATATGTATGTACATACATACGCATGTACATATGTATATCCCCCGAATTTCCATAGTAAACTTATCTCTTTCCATACACAAATAAATTTCATTACAATATAAATTACAATATCGCTTTATGCCATGCCTAGCCTATGTTGCCTTTAAACGGCCTTTTTGTGGTCTTATGCCAATTAGGCGCTACCTCTTCTTTTTCATAGAAGAGCGGCGCCGAAATTCAATAAGCGTGCTCTTACTTTTTCGTATTTGCTGTCGCGCCTTTTTCAAAACGTTGCGTCAGCGACGCTATATTCCCTGATTTGACGGTGGGCGCGGTGCGTGGCGTACCTGTAGCCGCTAAACGTGCGGCAGCTGCTGTGCCGCCGCCAACACTCGGCGCGGGTGTTACTTTCTTTTGGCTGTTGAACGAGGGCTTCGCTGAAAGCGGTTTTGGTTTTGTGATGGTAGCGGACGGCAGTGCTGTACTATTACTGCTACTTGTGGCTGTGGCGGCAGCACGCGTTGTCGCTGTTGAGTTTGCGGCGACAGCCGTTTTATTGAAGGCTTTGTTTCTCGATGTCACAGAGTTTGTGCTTGTGGTGCTGTTGTTGCCACCGAGGCGGTTGGGCGCAGCTGTTGTGGCTTTGTTAGAGGTGACAATTGCTGTCGCCGCTGCTGCTGAAGTTGTAGGCTTGAAACTTGAGAACGCTGTGCTGGGAGAGAGATCAGCGCGTGTGGGCGCTACGCGCGCCACTGGAGCATTCACTGGCGTCGGGCGCAAGTAAGTAGGCACTGTTTGTGCTGATGCTGCCGTTGTGCTCGCAAGCGCTTTCGGCGCTTCCGCAACTGCATTGCAATCCGGATTCGCGCTTGTGGCGACTGTGGACTTTGGTTTGGTTTTCAAATCCGCTGTGGTATTTTTCACCTCCTCCGTGGACAGCGGTTTGTTTTTCACTAGCGTTGATGCAGTGTAGATGGAATCGCCATTGCGCTTTTCAATCTCGTTCACAATCTCGCCCAGCAAACCCAAATCACTGCTTTCGTTGACGAAATCGCTGCGCTTAAGCGTTTGCGCTGCTGGGGGTATTTCATCTATTACTGAATAAATATTGTCTGTTGAAGTGGGTGAGTCTGCTTCGTTCGACTCACCTACTGTGGTCAGAGGATGTTCGACGAACTCGCAATCGTCATATGCATTCTCCACACTAGACTTGGCAGTGGCAACTGGCAGCGCATAGCCAGAAGAAGTCGTCGAATTAGTTTTCTTTAGGGGTGGAGGGCGTGGAGGCGGGCTTTTGGGGCGTGAAGCCGCGGCGGCTGCCGCCACACTCTTTGGACGCGCCGTACCTGGTGCATAACGCATCGACCCGAACGTCTGCACGTTGGTTTTCTTAGTGGGCGAACGCATAGATTGCGCACGTTTTACTAGAGTTTTCGTTTCCTCCTCTTTGGGTGTGGTCTCAGAATCCGAATTAGATGACTCTCCTTGCGGAGCAACAGGCATCGGTGCCGATATCTCGATATTCTTCAACTTCTCGCGATCAATGTAGGTTTTCTCTTTTAACGGCGGTTTCTCCTCCTTTTTCAAAAACGATGCTATGCGTCGAATGGTTCCATCACGCTTTATATTCAATTTCGGATCTGCATGCATAGGCACAGGTGGCGGCGGGGCGGGACGCGGCAAAGAGCCGGATTGACCGGCATGCATGGGAGGCGGTAGCGGTGCGGCACGCGTTGGTGACATCTCACCGCTCGACTGTTTAAGTGGCAGCGTCAACGTAGAGGTCTCCAGCACCGGCATCGAAATGATCGGGCGCGCATTCGAGCCGGGATTGGGTGGCGGTAAAGCTGGTGCATTTGCAATACCCACGGGTGGTGGTGGCGCCCAGCGATTAGGTTGAGCTACATCCACCGAGTTGCCTTTTACCAGTGGCGGTGGTGGCGCGGAGCGTTGTGGTACACCGCCATTCATGGCCGTTGTGTCCTGCACAGTGGGCTGTACGTAAGCGATATTAGGACCATTGAAATTGTTAGTGGGCGAAGTTGTATCATTAAGCGGACGAAGTGTGAAGCCCTTAAACTTGCCGAACATGCCATTGCCAACGGAGTTGTCATTCGAGTCGCTGGGGGACTTGAGCAGCGCGGAGTTCATGTCATCAGTACTGCTGGGAGTTGACTTCGGCAGGCTGTGCGCGCCAACGCCACCACTGCCTCCACCACCAAGTGGACCATGGTCGGGACGAGTGGGAGGTTGTTTTGTGCCGGCAGCCTTGATGCTGGAAAAGAGGGAGATAGAGCGGAAGAGGATGATGAGAAAAATGAATAGTAAATCTATGGAGAAGTAGAATAGTTATTAATTGGGATAAACATGATGAAACATGATCATTTGTAAATAAGGCGCACTTGGAGTAATGCAAATTGTCGTTATGTGTTTACAGTGTATTGTATTTTTTTTAACTTTATTAGTAGGCATTTGTTTTTGAACATGCAAATTAGTATTAAGTTTGTTGTTTTTTGCTAGAAACAATTTATTAATTATTTATTATTAGTTGGACTGTTAATAAAAGTAAATATTGAAAAAATAAAAAAGTTTTCACATACCGCTGCCAACTGTAAAATTCTTCAAACGTAGAGAACGAAAATTACGCTTGAACATTAGCCGACACCACATCCCATTTGACTTGCACAAAAACATCTAAGAAACATGCAATCTAATGCCGAGTTCCCACTAGGCATTGAAATGAAAAATAATTTCTTTCGAAATAAACACAATTTGTTTGCCATTTAATGCCTAGTGGAAATTCGCCATAGGAAATTGTTTAGTATATGCATGTGTATGTACAAACATGTGTACATATGTATGCATTAATTTTTAATACATATTTTATTTATTAGTTTGAAACAAAAATCAGAATGTTAAATATGAAAAAAGCACCAATGATAATAACATTTTGATATAAATTTTTATTTAAAGCTACAGACATACAGACAAACATAACAAATGTGCTTTTTAAGACTAGGACAGATTTCACAAAAGAAAAATTGTAATTGTATATATGCATATAGAAAAGGTTATATGTAAGTATTAAGATAGTATTACATGCCTTACAAATCAAAATATATTCATATAAACCTGTTAAAAAAAAATATATTTTAAAGAGAGCTTTAAAACCCCTGTTTTTAAATAAGCAGTATCAAGTAGGGATTTTTAATAAGACCTTCTCTTTTGAAGCTATGTATATTAGAAGATAATCCTGTAGCCCTGCAATTCGATGACAGACGAAAAGATGTGTTTCCAAAGAAAAGTAAACAAATCGTAGTGGGCGTTTGGGAGCGTTAACACCAATTTCAGTTCAGGGGCAACGATTAGAAACTGTAAATCTTTGATAATGTCCCATGAATGTCGTTTTATCTTCTGTATAATAAAACCGTCTAAAACTTACTATCGCGTAATAAAAGTAGTTTTCTTATAGTAAAATTGGAAGTAATTTTTGAATATTTCAAAGTGCATGAGCTGATTATAAATATTTATTTAAGAAAGCTATATGTAGCTATAAAATCAGGTTGTTTTTTACATGGGAAAAATTGGCGAGAGCTTCAACAAAACAAATTGCCAAAAATCAGCTATTTCAAGCTTGAACTGTGTTACTAAAATTTAATGGGCTAAAATTTTATGTTATTTTTTCTTATTTTTATACCCGATCGCTCTTGTGCACAAGGGTATATTAACTTTGTTCACATAACGGTTGTTTGTAACAGCCAAAACGAATCGAGATAGATATAAGCAAATGTTTACATAAATGCTCAAAATGAATAGAGTTCGATTAAGCCATGCCTGTCTGTTCGTCCGTCCGTGTACAGGATAACTCGAGCAAAAATTGAGATATCTCAACGAAATTCGGTATGTAGGTTTCCCTTTTTCCGATGTAGATTGATAATGAAAATTGGCGAAATCGGTCCATAACCACGCTTACTTCCCATATAGCGATGTTTTCGAAAAATGCAAAAACTATGATATTAATGTGGAGTAGAATTGTGATAAAAAATGTTATTATGAAATTTTTGCAAAATGGTCGTGAACCCGCCCACTTACGATCAAATGATGTATCTCCCTTCCAATCCTTACTAAACTCGGTACGAGCATTTCCTAGGACCTAGCTAAGAAATATGTCGAAAATCTTTGAAATCGGCCGATAACCACGCCCACCTCCCATACAACGGTAATTTACGGAAACACGAAAACTGCGATAAATCAGTAACTGCTGAAGCTAATTGACTCAAAATCTATAATTAGAATAACCACATAGCAAAAAATTGGATTATTATACATTTTTGGATAATGGGCGTGGCGCCGCCCACTTATGACCACAAATATGTACCTCGGTAACCCATTCATCAATTTCTACCAAACTCGGTGCACTCAATAAGCTTCGTACAAGAAAGAAATTCGTTGAAAATTATTCAAATCGGACTAAATTTACACCCGCTTCCTCTATAATGGTAAATTTGAGACATCCGATAGTCTTTAAGGTATTGGGCGTTGCACCGCCCACTTTATGAATACAAGGTGTGTCTCGGTAACCACTTTATAGATTTCTACCAAACTTGGTTCAATTCTTTCATTAAGTCTAATTCAGCATATAATCGAAAAAGTTTGAAATCGGGGAGCGGGGGGTTATCATGCAAACGTAGTTAAAGAAAGTTGAAACGACGATATTTGATACCTGCGTCTGAATGAAATGTAATGAATTTAAATGCTTTAAAAAAGTTTAAGTTAAAAAATGCTGCAGACACAAAAATTTCGTTCTTCGTCTTCGGGTTTTCAAACGCGGCTCGCAATTTGTAGTTTCTTCATGGACATTTGGCTAACGCTGCTGAGGGGTTGCCAGGTTTAACCGTTCACATGAAACTATTGCAGGGTTTACCTAGCCCCACATATTTAATTATTTATAAAAAGTAACATGATGGTCAATTTCTTTTGGAGACTGCATAGAATCATCTATCGCTGCCATTTGCAAATTGGGATCATTCAAAACTGGGTCAAAAAGACACCTTCTGATAAGAGTCATTGGGTTAAAAGCTTCTGTAAATGTTTTTTTTTTGAATATTTCTCAATACCTAGGTCTCCTTAGGTAAGAATTGTGTTTGAATTTTATTGGAATTTGACTATCAACGTTTTGGCACAAATTGGGTAAAACGACTGTTCCTCTGAGTTGGAAAAAGCTGACCCTTCATGTACTTCCAATGCACAAGATACTGGGTATAGGATCATTTTTCTTATACAAAGTTTGGCAGCATTGGATTTTTAGTTCAGCTTCATATCTCTCAATACTGCTTCATCAAGGTAGAGTTATTTCGAAAACGTATGTATTGGACACATTTTGATGACTTTATTTATTAATGAAACACCACCGATATTTTTTCTGTGCCCAATTCGCCATTAAAATGTTGGGCATTCAAAGTGAAATGAAAATGCGACATAGCAAACATTTAGTAGCAGTTCTAGATATGTCAAAGAAAACCTTTAAATGTATCGCTTTCAATATTGGTATGGAGGTTTATGTGTGAGACAATTAACTGAATAATAAAAACGCAAAAAAATAGCTATGGTGAACGGTGGTGACGATGAAATGTCGTTCCCACGACAGTCGGGTCTACGTAACCGGAACGATCCAGATTTATATTTGGCCAAGGACTGTCACTCCAACAACACTCCATAAAAACTCTTTGGGGAATTTGTATGCTGCTATAACAACAACAACAACAACAACATGAAATGTAAAACTTATTTGAAGAATTGCATTTGGAATTGATTTTCAGAACAAAGAACATATTAAATACGCACTAATTTCAACTTGGTGTACTGTCTACATACACATGCATGATTTATTAAAACAAAAAAAACAACACATGCATGCTATTCGAACCAAATATTGTTACATTCATATCGAGCCCTAACCGCCAAAATAACGTAAGCGACATTTTTTTTCAAAATTTTATTTTTGATGCAGAAATATTCCTAGAGCATCTAGATGTATTTCTGCATCAAAAATAAAATTTTGAAAATATTGTCGCTTACGTTATTTTGGCGGTTAGGGCTCGATATTATAGTCACATTCTAATATTTTCGAGTTTAAAATATATATGTATATACTTAAGTAATAATATTTATAATTCAAGCTATATAAGCTAAAATAAATTAATAAAATTATTTAAACTCCAAAAGAAGGCAGTTTCGTTCAAAGCAGAGTAAAGAAAATCTCCTATTTCAATGAAACAAAAAATAACCAAACTTCGGCCTCTGAGAACCAGAGTATTATGCAAAATTAAGACTTGAGGTTTTCAGATGCCGAACATTATTATTATTTTTATTGCAGCCGAAGCCTACAAGTACACTTAGCAAAAGTGTCTGTCATGCGAAGAGAAGAGTCACACATGCAGTTAAAGCAAATGCAGCTAAGGGCAATTGAATTGAAAATCAGCAACAGCAGCCAACACTTTTACTTAGTCTGTCTTTTTTTATTTAGCCGCATGCAGTCCTTATCAAGGCTTAAGGCTTCAATTGACAAAGTAGACACGTTTTTAAGATGTCAATAAGTCTCGCGTTTTTAAGAGAAAACCCAAGAACAAAAAAACCGCTTATATAAAAAATCAGTTAATACCTTTTGCCTCGATAAAGAATACATGCACATTCGTATAAGGTTTTATGTATGTGTACATGTGTATGAAATCAAATAGCTTTTACTTGCTATTCTTTAGTTTGCTATCATCGCCAGCAGTTAAGTTACTACTACTTTGGTTCATAGTATTTTTCTTGTGGCTACCCAAAACATAGACACACCTAGCAGGATCACTGGCTATGTACTGTGCGCCATCGCACAGTGCATTTGGATTTGTGGTGGATTGTAAGCGTATATCGGTGATTTCTAGTTTACGCCGCAATGTATTATTCTGACTGTTGTCCTGTGAGCTAGTGTCGCCCGAAAGCAGCTGCTCGCTTGCTTTTGATTTCAGTGTTGTTGGGGTTTTTGGCGCTTTGAGTTTGCGTTTAAGTGTAGTTGTTGGTGTTGTTGAATAATCATTGCCTTCGGCGGCAAATGGTATGGTTGGTATTTTTGTTGGTGTTGCTGCTGACTTTTTCTTGCTTAAACTATTTTGTGTGAACTTATTTTTAATTTCCGCCACCGAAATAATTTTGCTATTGGGGACCAAGCTGTTAAAATCTTCATTAGTTTTACTTTTGCATAAAAACAAATTGTTATGTATACGCGCTAAATTGTTAGTGGAGGCACTTTGGCTGATTAGCGTTTGACTGTTGGATTTGATTGTATTGGTGCTAGTGTACGCATGCGCTTGTGTGCTTGTATTGAGTGTATTGGAACGTTTGAGTTGACCACGCTTAGCACAGGACTCTAATGGTGTGCGTTTTAAGTGTTTAATTGCGCTCGCAGGCAATGCACAAGATGCAGTTGAAGAAGAAGATAAGTTAGAAGAAGTGTTGGAAGAATGGGAGGAAGTAGTTGTATTGCTAGTGGTAGTGCTAAAGGAGCACACCGACTTGTGCGGCGTGGATACATACATATTCTCGGCCAGCTTGCCGCCAAGGAAGAAGCGTCGATTGCGAATGTAGTATGTGAGCCAGAGTAGGAGCATCATAAACGGTATCACGCCAAAGAAGAAGATATACATGAAGTTCTGGAAGACTTGATGACCTGTACGGGAGTTGAAGAAAATGTAGTGTTAACAATTGTATACTTGAAAATGGTTCAAACACTAAAAATGCGAGTACTTACTGGTAGGCGAAGTTGCAGGTCCACTGTTAATGGAGCCACCCGGTCCTGGCAGGCGACAAGTTGCGCCCGTGTAGCCCACATGGCAATGGCAATTGCCAAGGCTGTTGCATACACCGTTACTATTGCAATTCTCAGGACACTGCTTACCCAGCCCCGTGGCACGTACTCGCTCTATCGTCAGGCACTTTTGGTCCACACACATTTTGCCTTCCCCACACTTAGCACCATTTGGCGAAAGCCCTGGATCAGTACTTTGCAGCCCCAAATCAACGAGCGCAGTGCGGCATGGCACAATATTGCCTTCGTGATTGATGAACGAGTGCGACAGCACTGCTGCAGACTCCATTCCAAATTCTAACCGCTCATTCAAATGCCGACAGTGCAGCATGCCACATGCCACGTGTTCCTTTTCGCAGGGTATGAAAGTATTGTTGATGCGATCGTAGCCACAATTACCGCCACGTTTTCCCTCCGTGTTTTTCCCGTAGCAGTGTTCTGAACTCTCGCCAGTCGGTCCCCACAGTATGCGACATTGTTGCGTGTGCGAACGACAGTTGCCTTGGAAGCAGTACGCCTGCCCGCCATCACAATCTTCTGTATCACGTTTGAACACATCTGCTGGGCAGTACTCCGACTCGCCTGTACAGTATTCCGGCAAATCACATTCGTTCTCTGCCACACGACACGCTTGGCCGGCCGCTTTGGGTCGACACGTACTCAAATCACAGCATTCACCGGTGGCGCATGACGCGTTCGTGTGCAGCATGCAAGTGTGCGGGTCGCAGCAGGTATTCTCGCAGTAGTTGGGCAGCCCACAATCGCATTGCTCGCCCGGCTCCACGAAACCATTGCCACATTGCGGTGACTCGAATAGCTTGGTGGGTTTGTTACGCAGGCAATAGTTCATGCCGCGCGAGAAGGCAATATTTAGCTGGTCAATGCTGCAACTGCTCCAGTGCACTGGCACCACAGAGGTAGACGAAGCGGACATTATACATTTTTCATCTTGGCACTTGCAGTCGGACGAATCGTGCTCCATGCCAAAGTTGTGGCCCATTTCGTGGGCCATTGTAGTAGCGACAACGGCAACAATTTGGCTGTGCTCATTGGAAACGCCACCAGAGTATTCGTGCGTACAAATTGGACCCTTCAGTGCTTTGCCTGGATGGGGGAAAAGAGTTTATTAAAATTTCTTGACACCGAATTAAATTCTAAATGCAAATGCTAATTACCAACAACGCCACCGCTAAATTGCTCCTTAGTCAGCAGCTGTGCATTATCGTTCGGATGGTCCAGCACCAGTTTTGTGCTACGATAGTTGAGAAAGTTGCGCAGCGTTAAATCACCATCGCTGGAGAATTCGATTTCATTGTACTCATTCCAGATGACCACACCCACGAGTGCAACGAAGATATTCAGAGGAACATACAACTAAGGGGAAGAAATAAATAAAAGTATTACAATTTTATTAATGTATATTAAACATAATTATGTATACTATGTACATATGTATATGCTAAAATATATTAAATAATTGCTATAGCTAAATTATTTGGTTATAGGTAACCAATCATGTGTTGAGAGAAATATATTTAGCTGACCTTTTCCTATGTGTACTTAATTTTCTTTAATATACATACATGTGTATATGTATATATACATAATTCTCAAACTTAATTTCTATTTTATTTTCCATCTGAGCTATTGATTTATTTAAAAACAAAACTTTGGAGGAATTTCCTTAGACTTGAAATTATCTCGAAAGCCTATCAAGGTATTGAGGAATCACCGCAATAATGAACACAGGTGGTAAATGCTTTCTCTTCCTCAGGACCTCAACTGTAACCCAACGTTAGTATTTACACTTGCAATCAAACCCCAAGAGAATTTTCCTATTTTTTAAAGATATTTATTATTTTTTCATTTTTTGTGACCCTAGTTGATATTAACCCACTAGTTGAACTTCTTTTCCCAAACCATATCAAAGGGAGCCATTTTGTCAAGAGTTAGTGAGTTAAAAGATTCTAAGAAACAGATTGGTGCTTAATTCTGTAATACATTGTATGTATGGTCTACTACGGCAATTGTCTATGCATTATCAAAAAGAATTCAAAGCCACGAAAACAATTTTCTATAAAATTGAGCTGTTAGATGGCGTTGTAATTGAGATGTATGAAAAGTCTGTGCCTATATGAAGTCGTATTTAGAGTAGTCTATAAATTCAGCGACCCGCAGTACTGAAAAATATCGAAAATAAGGAGACCCAAATTCTTTATTTTGAAATCGGTTAATATTTAACCGTGCCGCCGGGCGTTTGAAGTTATCAATATACGCAGGCCCGGCAAACTTCGTCACGCCCAAAATTATTATTATTTTTTGATTGAAACATTTTGGTCCAACATTTTAATTAACAATTCACATTCCAGTGGAACATTTATTTTGGTTATTTAATCCTGGTGCCTCCGAGTGAAGCTTTAACGCAAAGTAATATTGGCAAATCGCATCCATTGGGCCAATTTGAACACACGGGAGCTCACATTACTCAGTGGTCCAATACGTCGATGTAATCGGACATTCACGACACTTTTTCTCACTTGACGATGTTTAGTAATAACTCGAATCCAGAGCCACGTGGTGGGTAAATTTTTTCGCAGAAATATTTTTCTTTACGATACCAATACATATGTATTTCGAATATAAGCCAAATCGGATCATAAATAGGATTTTTAGTAATAGCTAGATTCCAGCGCCACCTGGTGGCTCAAATTGCGAATCTAAACTATCCAGAGACCCACCTAAATACACACAAAAAATTTCATAAAAATCGGGAGTAGGAGTTCACTCACATGTACAGAAGAACTATATATATGTAAATACAATGATAGCTTAAAGTCTCAGTACGTCTGGTACAAATTTTTTTTCATGAGTATGCTATTGATTTCGTATATCTCGATGCCAAGTTCCAGTACTCTACCATGAACACTTCCAGAGAAATGCAGTATGAAAAATTCGGTTTGTATGAGAGGTGCCACGCCCCCTTTACACATCGACTTTTTTTTAGCCTTTAACAATCATTGGAAAGTATGCAGTAGGAGTCCAAAATTAAAAAAAAAAATCGGTACAACCGTTTGCGAGATCACCTCTTATAAAAAAAGGAACTTTTCTTTATGTAATTATTAAAGATAATAAGTATAGATAAATAGCCAATACCCGCATGCTTTGCGGGGCCTTAAAACACCTTACCAACTATAAAAAAAACATCAATTCTATTCTATGTATATTTATAGCATGTGTACCGAATTTCTAGCAAATCGGACCATAAATCACGTTTTTCGAATAGATCGGTGTCCCTTGTCATTCTATCAGAAAAAAAGTATATATACATATATTAGTCCAAGCAATAAGCCAAGTTTCAAGGAAATCGGAACATAAATAAGTATTTTTACAATATATCGGTATCTTGTCCCCCTATCAGAAAAAAGGATCCTATGTGATAATCTGGGCAAAAAGCTACCTGCATGTCAAATTTCAAGCAAATCTGGCCATGAGTACGATTTTTTCCAATAGATCGGTCTCTGGTCCACTTACCGGAAAAAGGACCCTATATGCGAACCTAGACAGAAAGCTAAAACTAGAAATGTCACTCAGATTGTATTGCATGTTTTCATTCCTTACGTTCTTCTAACTTACCGCATTGATGATGTTGGCTAAATCCTTACAGTGCTGATGCACTTTTCTCGGACTCTCCCCAAATGACTTATAGACCTTATTATCAACCACAATAACTAATTCCACATAGGAAGAATGTTTGTCGGCATTATAGGGACCGCGAATTACATCGTTATTTTCATACGACCTTTTATACTGCAATTAAAAGAATGAACGAGGTAAAAAAAATCCTAAAAACTCTTCATCTACAAATTATACACTTACCCGCAAAATTCGATTGAACTCCGAACCATCAAGGTGCGTTGGTACTTGCGGTAGGTCATCGTCCTTTTGTAGCAAGTTCTCAGACTTCAAATGTTGTAAGTGTTTATGGTGGTCGGTGGCACTGTTATAGCCACAGGTCGAATTTTTATCCAACAAATCAGAGTGCCTGCGAAATTTCAATGAGCATTATAATTATTATGCAACTGTTTTTTTTTTAATTATTTCTTTTATAAAAATTTTAAAGTTGCTTATATATGTATATGGATGTACTTAAGCATACCCACAAATTAGTATGTACGAGTATGTGTAAATTGGCAAATCCATTTCGGAATAATTTTATTCCTAAACGGAAATACGAACGGAAGTAAAAAAAGAGAAATTCCGTCATGGTGTACTTCATATGCAAACACGTGAAAGTTTGTTCTGAGACCAGCTGAAAGACCAGCAGGTATGACAGTTTATGCTAAGCGGCAGCCGCGAAAGTGGCTAAAAAGCGCCGGCTTGTTTACATATAGCTACATATGTGTTGACCAAATATTGACATAAAACGTAGCCGCACGCAGAGCTTAACTTGCCTGTTAGGCAGCCAATCAAGTTTATGGTTGGCGAATTCAAAATAGACAGGCAGGCGCAGATATTGCTGGTGGAGGACGCATGGCTAAAAAGTGATGGAACTTAACGGAACAAAAACAAAAACGTTTTTGAGCTATACGGAAAACAGAATCGAAGTATGTATGTTTGTAATTATACTTAATATGACTTAAAGAAATATATGTAGGAAAAAATATTTAAAATTAAAATATAAATCATTTTATTAACCATTGAAGTAGATACTTTTTGTTATAGAATTGCAGAAATACTGGTTGTGGAATTTCTTATGGGATGTGTGTCGTCAACATTTGGGGTTTATACGTTTGAAGAAATGGACCCGACGGGTATCGCCGGAGTTGAAACATTTTAGAGAATTTTAAATCTAAAACAGAGTTGGAGTGGTGAATAGAATCTTTAAATAGCCGATCGCAGAGGCCGAATTCGGAATTTAATGAAGAGAGTCAACTCCCTTTGAGGAAAGTGCTTTTCAGGCTGAAATCAGTGCAATGAGAATTTTCGGTTTTTTTTTGTAGAATCCATAAAAATTAAGATTTTTTTGAGACTTTATCTTCGACGGCCGGCCCAGGAGAGTGGTTAAAGGCTAGATTCCTGATCAGATCAACCCCCAACAAAAATTTATGTAAGCGGTACCCCATCGACCACCATTTTTAAACCTCCGTGTGTAATTCTTCCATGAAAAAGCTTCGCATAAAAATACATACATTACATACATTGGTCGTTTTAAAGTGGCATGAATTACAGGACCATCCCTTTGTGTGTTAACTTCAAGAACCCTATTGCGAATTGGAGATTAAATTTATTTTTTCGAAATGTAGGGTCTAGTAAAATCTTCTTTCTCTAGCGCATTAGACTGGATCTCCGTGGTCAGCGGGCGAATTGTTAATTAGAGCAGCCTCTCTCACCTAAGGGTGCATTCAGACAGAAAGTCGAGCGGCGCTGAGCAAAGCAAGCGAAGCTGCTGGTGTTCATACTGAACGAAGCGAAGCGGAGCTTTTCGCATGGAATCGGCTGCAAAAATAATACAAAACTTACCCTCAAAATCAAAAATAGCTTTGTTTTCAGCCCCAAAACTCTTATGAAAAAGATTGCTGTGTGAACACTTTCATGTAGATACAGCAATTTGAAGACTTCACTCAGCTCGGAACAGCCTCGCTCGGCTCGGCTCTGCTTTCTGTGTGAACGCACCCTAACCCATGTTTGATTTGTGAGATAAAAATTTTTAGTTTTTATTTGATAACGCACATCCTCTTGTTCATTTTATTGCAATTCAGACCATTGTGTCAGTTACGGGATATTCGAGCATATGAGTACTTATACATCTCACTTAAATATTACATGGTGTCAAGCTGCTAATCAAAGTGCTAGAATCAAACGGAGCTCGCAGAATGCCGACTGTACTGCAGCGTACTTAACATTGAATACAAAGCCCTATCTAAGATACTACTTATAAGAAAGACGGCAGTCGTTTTGCTCTGAGTAAGATCTGAGAACTGGCCAGCTTTCCACAGTGCTTCAAATCGCCAATTTCGAGTCCGCCTTTGACAGCACGAGATCTATGCAAAATTAATGCGATTATTTACATTGACTTTGAATAAAACTTATAACTCCAAGCCGTTCTAGACCAAACAAGATTTTAGGCAGGACTCGCTTCGAGCACTCCGATTTCACTGTAATTTGTTATCTGCAGTATTTTTGCTTAGAAATCAAGAAATATAACTGCTACTACACTACATTGCTATCGAACGAATTTGATATATGTTATCTGATTTTAATGAAAATCGGTTATAATGTATCTTAGTTTTAACCAGAAAAACTTAAATTTCAAAGATGGTAAAAATCGGCCCAGTGACACGCCCATCAGCCATAAAGAATCATTTATAAGGCAAAGGTACTAAATACATGGTAATTTTGAGTATGATTTTTGCCACAGCTTATAAGGGGATCTGCCAATGCGAAGCGTCCAGTCAATGAAAGATAAATAGTACACGCAACTGGAACTTGTTGCAATAATTTACCCAAAGCTTAATGAACCTTGTAGTATCATGAACCTTGTAGTAATCATATTTATAAATGTTCTCAACTGTGAAACCCCTGTAAACTATTGAAAACAAGTCAAACAAAAATCGATCATTCAATTACGAGTGTTGAATCCGTGAAATGCCTGGTCAAAGTTGTGCGTAAAAAACTAAGATCGTGTTAGTAGAAATGTCTAGAGTCCAGCCAACCACTTAGTTGGATTTTTCGAGACATTTCGAAACATGAACTTTATGCCATTTATGCCACTCTCAGACCACTGTGCGCCACTAGGAAGTTTTCATTTCAAAAATAATTGTTTTCGAAGCGAAGAAAATGCCAAACTGTAACTTACCAAATCGGGGATGCTCTATCTTTTGGTGGTTATCTGAGGATAAAAATATTTATGTATCTTTTGTTTGAAACTTTTTTCTCGGAACTGGTAAAAACATATATTTCCTATTTAAAAAAAATGTATTTCTGGTCAGCATAATAAAATTAAATTATGTATGTCTAATTTAAAAAAATGGATTTCTGGTGAGCTTAACCCGATTCCAGTCGAAACCGGTAAAACCGGTAATACCACCAAAAGATAGAGCATCCCTGATTATATAGGTCATATTTTTGCGTTATTTAATAAATAAAATATTCCTCCATTTTAGAGGGGTGGACTGGTGGTCTAGGACGCCTTGTAACATAATAACTGAAAATTTGTCTCCCGAACAACTCCAACTCCAATTGAGAGAAAAATGCTCTGACAGTGATTTGCTAATAAAGGTGCTATTTTTGGGGTTTGGCCTAATTTAGATACAAAAAATGTTTTTAATAAAAGTTAGTCCAATTATTTTGGATCCCTTTCTGAAAGTATGATATAAAAGGTGAGTAATGCACTTGTTTAAAATTTCCATTATAAGAAATGCTTGATTTCGTAAACCAAAGCCAGAAAGTGTATGTGCGTGTCACAAACACATTTACCTCTCACGTATGAACCGTAAACTTTTTTCTGTTCTAAATCAATGTCAAGTTCATCGCTACCAAAAAGATACACATCTGTGGACATTTGACAAAACAACTGAAGTCCATCTTTCACGGACAAAGAAAATAGCATATTTCGGCAAAGCTCTTTTTACCGTCAGAGCAATGATTTTTATTTAAATGAAAACATGCAGTCGTTGCAAACAGACACATTTTTAGTGGTTGTGAATGGCGACAAAATAATTTAACATTTCTTTCGAATTGCAACATTTTTCTCTTTGACGGCAAAATATGTTTTGTCGACATATGCTATTTTGCATGTCCGTGAAAGACAGACTTAAGTTGTTTTGTCAAATATCCACAGATATGTATGTATGTCAATATATCTGCGGCTGCATTGAGCCCAAATTTTCGTACATATGTGAAACATTATGTACTATGTACATATGTATGTACATTAGAGTGGTCCAAAATAAAAAGTCGGAATTTTAATGCCGCCACCCCCTAGGATTGTTCTGAACCGAATATACCCCTATTTTTTTATTTTGAAATCAAAAAATATTTAGGGAGTGCTCACAGCGCTCAGAGTTTTCCATGTATTTTATATGGGGAAAAAACAAATTTTCCTAAAATTGGTATAAAATTCTTGAAAATCAATATTTTTCAATCGTAAAACCGTGGTGCTCTTCAGGAGACTTCAAATATTAATATTCAATTGTTTATTCAACCATTTTTTATGATTAAAGATTTTTTATTGGTCGTCCCATTGCATTTTCTAGGACCTGTAAAATATAGCTACCATGAAAAAATTGTTAAAGGAACGATTGGGTATTATTACTGGGAATCTCCTGAAGATAAGCAAAGTTTTCCGATCGAAAAGTATTGATTTTCAAGAATTCTACACTATTTCTACGAAAAGTTGTTTTTTCCACATATAAAATACATTGAAAACTGTGAGCGCGTTGAGCACACCCTAAGGGTCTGATTATGCATACTTCTCATAACTTCGCACAACTTCGCATAAACTTCAAACTGTAATTTCGTATGTACTTTGTATGTATTTCATTACCTAGAAATTAGCAGAACTTTTAAAAACTTAGCGATCTGTTGAGTTTAGATTTTGCTTCACATTTTCTTAAGTTACACTTTTAGTGCACTGGTACAAATGGTTGTGCGAAGTTATGCGAAGTATGCATAATCAGACCCTAATTTTTTTTTATTTCAAAAAAAAGGCGAATATTTTTTTTTTGTATAGAACGATCCTAGGGGCTGGCGGCATTAAAAATGCGACCTTATTTTTTTTACATACGTTTTTGGACCACTTTAAAGTACATACATAGATATGTATGTACGTGTGCATAAAAAGCTATGACAATCAACAGCAAATAAATATACTCACCGAAATAAAAAATGTTCATCCTGCAAGCGTCCATCACTACCAGAGTGTATAAAATATGTATCGGTGCCATCGAATATGACACCATTTACACCACCACCATTACACGTCGATATGGCAGCATTTGAATGTGGTTTGCCGCGTATAGTGCCCTGCAATTTAAAAAAATATATATATCGAGGTTAGATGAAATATTAGAAAAAATATTAGAAGCGACAGGTTCGGCGCAGCTTTGATAGGCTACAATATTTGCTTAAAATCGTGTATGTGTGTTTTACAAAACCAATTAGGACAGTAGGACTCACATGGGCGAAATAGGCTGCCTACAACTCACCTGGTAATGGCACAATTCCATTTCAGTCTTTGTGAAATTTTTTATAACACGCCCCGTTGGCGAATTCGAATTTTGATAGCGAAGAAAATGCTCTGTTGGCAGCAAATCATCGTTGCGATGCAGGTCAATGTGAACGCGTTGACCTTCATGTTGATACGTGAGTGTTATGTGCGGAACATGTTGGCCTTGCTATAGATGGAATGAAAAAAAACAGGACAAATATGAAATGCTATGCCTGGAATAATTTAAATTATTTTATAGTGAAGGAAGAGCATTTAGTTAATTTCTTCATATCTATACATAAGAATAATAAAATTGTAACGGAGCGATGTCTGCACATTATTGATATTAAAAAAAGTTAATATTTAACAATTTTTAGAATTTTTGACTGTCTTTTTGTCGGTATGTTTGTACTCGAAACTAGTGCATGAAATTAAATTCAGTTTGGACCGATGTATTGCCTGAACTCTAACTTAAAATATAGAAAGAAAAAAGTTAGAAAGTTGCCACCTGTTTGAAAATTGCAGTTTATGTAAATTGATAAGATAAACTAAATATTGTCAAAAGAAAGAGGTTTAAGAAGGCAGAAGGCTGTTTGAAAGATTTATTTTATTTTAACTAATAAAATAACTTAAATATTGCAATATGGGTATCAAACTAAAGAGGGCTAGGAAAGTTTACCACCGAAAACATTTTTGTGGCAACCCCCATTTGAAAAATCTTATTTACTTAAATTGATAAAAAAAATTTCGGGATCCCGGCCTTTTTTAAGTCCCGAATATCGATTTAAATCCCGGGATTGCTGGAAACAATTTTTTTGTTAGCCAATTAAATTTTTATCACAAGGGCAAAACAAGAATTTTTTGCAACCCTTAATGCTATAATTTCTTTAATATCGCATTTCCATCAAAAGAAGGAATAATTTTGCTTCGCTCAAAATGGAATAGGTGATGCACTTATATATTTATTTTTTACAAATGTGTTAACTTTTTTATTATTACTTAAATATACATACATGCATATAAATTTTATATAGTTACATAGGCAGTTACTGCTGTACCAAATACAGTCACTTACAACAATATTTTGCATTGATTTTTTTTGCTATATTCAAAATATTTTTCATGGTATTTTTTTGTTAATAAAAAAATATATATAGCTCGTTTTACAACAAAAATCATGTAAATCAAAATTTCACACTTTAGAGAAAGTTGGTTGAAGTTCACCAAATTATCATAAAAATATCAAACTTTTTAATCATAATTTTTACAAAAAATTCTATTATGCAGTTTAATANAATTAAAAAAAATATATAGCTCATTTTACAACAAAAATCATGTAAATCAAAATTTCACACTTTAGAGAAAGTTGGTTTAAGTTCACCAAATTATCATAAAAATATCAAACTTTTTAATCATAATTTTTACAAAAAATTCTATTATGCAGTTTAATAGCAGATTCAATTTAATACAATAAAGTGCAATTTTAAAGTTGCTAAAAACTCCCTTGATTTTTGATTTTTTTTTACTGACGATGTTAGCATTTTCTTCCTTATAACGAATTTTTTTGTGGCAAAAAAAATATAAAATTTTAACGGGATGTTTTAGCAACTTTAAAATTTCACATACATATATATTTTTTTAAATTAAAAAAAAAAATACCATGAAAAATATTCTGAATATTGCAAAAAAAACCTATGCAAAATATTTCTGTGCATTCTATGCATTTGTACTTGTAGTGCAAAAACTATGTTATAAATTAATGAGGATATGTACATACATAGATACATACATATATGTTTGTCAAATTCAATGTTTGTTTTTTTGTGATTGAAAATACTGATTTATCGCCTTAATAAATACATATGTAAATGAATTACAATAAATTGTACTTTTTTTTGTTATATAAATCTGATTTAAAATACTATAATAGGATGATCACAGATGTGTTGGTGTTGCACTTTTGCCTGAATTTAGGGACAATCCCGGGATCCCGGGATTGTATTTTCAGATCCCGAAAATCCCGGGATCGACAAAACCCCGAAAATTGACATCCCTAGTATGTAGTCAGTCTTCTAAAGTATCCAAAAAGTCGCAAACAATGTATATTAAATCGCATTCAAGCCTGCAGTACTTGTCACGAACTATTTTTGAAGCGGGTTGCCTATTTGAAAAACTCATTCAGTTAAATTGATAATTAATTTCTAAATACCTTCAAAAATATATTAAATAACAGCCACATTTATAAAAAATAAAGAACGCATCATAAATCAATTTTTTTAAATCTCGCTTCAAGCCTCTTAAATATATTTTATTTTTTATGAAGGAGGCCATAATGAGGGAGGGAGTAACAACGCAAAAATACTTTTAAGGGCGCAGTGACACACGCCGGGTATTTGCTAGTTATAAATAAAATGTTTTTGTTTTTTTTATGACCTGGTATGCAGGATAGCGCACCCTTTATTCTACACAGAATCACACGCACAACCACTGGATTAACCATTGGTTCCATCAACCCATTATATGCTTTACATAAATATGATTGTCCAGTGGTCGATCATATTTCAACAGACTAATTTAATTTCAGCATGCTAATTGTGGGCGTTTTTCAATTTACGGAGTGGTTTCTAAACATTCACTCATATTGATACATTCATACATATTTACATACATACATATGTATATACAAATGCACGTTGCAGGATAAATATATTTAGGGTAATCATGAACATGTCTATGCTCATACTATGTAGGTACGTGCATATGTTAGTTACCAGTCTCGGGTGAAGGGACCGCTTAACAGTATTCACGCGTGCGCGTCCTTAATGACCTTACTCAATTTTGAAGCCAAAGAGGTATACATATGTACACAGGGGTGAACCTAAACGTAAAACTATGTTTCGATCACGAATACGGTGTTGCTTTTTTTTCATTGGCATCTTCCCAATCTAAACTTTTGTATTCATATTGAGGTTCTTTATACATAACTGTTTTTCGACTGCGGCTGATATCAAGCAACTTTTTCAATTGCCTTTTTCTTTAGAATGTTTCGTTAGTTCTTCATTGTGCTCTTGGCAGCTCTTGTTTTCGTAGTTTTGTGCCGTAGCAAAAGATCGTTTCATCGAAGCATAGAAATAGTGCGGAAAGCTACTGCAAGCCTTGTTTTTGTGAGTGTGGCATAGTCTATATCACTGTGAAAGTCATAAAATTCGCATTCTATCTTTTCCCGTATACATCACCTTTGCAAACAGAATCATGATTATAAATGGTTCTCTAAATTTTGTTCGAAAACGAAGTTTTTTGGGCATGCTGTAACCGATTTACCAATTTATGCCAAACTTTCTACAGTATTCAACTGTGGTTCAACACAGAAAAGAGTTAACAATTTTCGAAATCGGACAATAACAATGGCCAACCTCTTAGATAACTGCGATAAATCAGTAACTACTGAAGCAAATTCAATCAAAGTGGATGTATGCCAATAATATCTTAGCAGTCAATGAGATTACCACAAATTTCGGTTGAATTATTGCATTTGGTATAAAAAAGCTATATGCTGAAAATTTTGGAAATCTGGCTAAAATTACTTTCACTTTCTATATAACTTAAAACCATCTCTTAACAATAAATAAGACTATTATGGATTTTTGGACCTTTTGACTAGATATGGGTATGTTCTGAAAAGATACATCCAAAAGAAAAAAAGATCAACCTAGGTCAAACTTTATAATGCCAATCGAAAGCTAAATATTTCGTCGTTCGTGTACTAAAAGTGTATACTAAATAATTGTTCCATTACATAGCAAGATATCAAAGCTTTGCTATCTAATTTTCCTAATAAAAATTTCTTTGTAGTAAAAATATTTTCCAAAAAGCAATATTTAGAAATCGATAAATATGTAATTGAAAACATGCGTAATAGTTTAGCATGATTCAACAACACTGGATCACAAATTTTAGTTTAGTTTTTGTTCTGCAGACGCCACTATCCAGTACCTACGTAGAATTGCTCGGTGATTCGGAAAATCGAGCTTTTTTTCTATGGATACGTTTTCGAGATATTTGCAATTTACCGCTATTCAGCTTGAAACAAAAAGTGGTTCCCCTTAATCACGTATATCTTACGAAGCAATTTAATAATCCTAATATGACGGCAAATGAAAGCTAATAAAATTCCCTATAAACCACATATACATCACTTACCGATGGGACTTATAGTTTCTACCACATTAATTAATGATTCCAGTCTTTTATATTTTTTAATGAAAAAATTAAAAAAAAAATTTAAATTTAACAGAAGAAAAAATTACAGGTTCTGCGCCAAATTTTTGCTTCTGTTACAAGAAAATCAAGTTACTACTGAAGAAAATCGATGGATAAATAAAGATAAAAAGTAATCAAATGAAAATACGCAAAGATTTTTTGTGTGAAAAATTAGCAGGAAAGAAGGTTGCTCATACGCCTCGTACACCTGAGTAACACGTTTTCTACTCATTACTTCTTTATTTATCCATCGCTTTTCTTCATTAGGAACTTGATATTTTTTGTATCAGAAGATGTTTTCGCACAAATGCAAAAATTTGGCACAGAACGTGTTATTTTTTTTTTCTGTTAAAGTTTGATTTTCTTTTTAATTTTTTCATTAAAAAATAAATAAAACCGGAATGATTAATTAATTTGTCAGAAACTATCAGTCCCATCGGTAAGTGATGTATATATGGTTTATCGAGAATTTTATTAGCTTTGATTTGACGTATCTCATTTTAAGATTGTAAAATTTGTTCGTAAGATATACGTAATTTCGTTTGAAGAAATTAACTCCATTTTCGGAATCACCGAGCAATTCTATATAGAAATTGGATGGTGGCATCTGGAGAACAAAAACCAAACTAAAATTGGTGATCCAGTATAGTTAAAGGTTTGCTCACTAGTTACATTAGGGTTTTGACACTCCCTTACAGAAAGTTGCACACAAACACGCATCCACACACTGCGCCTTGCTAAGGGAGCCGATTTTGTCAAGAGGGAACGAGAAAACTGTTTTCTGAGCAAACCTTTTATTTTATTGAATTGTGATAGTTAAGAACATGCCATGTTCTTTAAGTCTTATACCAAAAAGTTATGTAAAACGTGGTGACTAATGGTTTAATGAGAAGTAAAAATGTTGCATTTTTACAGGTAACCGACTCAAAAATACTTCTTAAGCCGGTGTAACACGATTTGTAAATTTGTACAGATTTGTACATTTTGGCGGTCACACCGTGGTGTTGTCTAGAAAATTGTATCAAAAATGGGTTTAGCTAAAAAACTCTGTATCTGTCAAAATGTACAAATGTATAAATCGTGTGGTCCCTGCTTTAGAAAAAAAAAAGTAAACAGTGATGTTGATACAAACTGAATTATTTACAAAAATTATTGTTGACGAATGTTACGTTTGAGTTTTACGATTACTTTTATTAATTAAACTTGTCGATTAAAGTTAATTTTCAGATTGATACAGCTTATTTTTTTAACCATGTGGTTAAAAAAAAGTGTGGCAAATATATTATCCTACACAGTAATACCGACTTTTTCATACATTCCTTGTCTCTTATACCTTATTGAAATGTGTTTCAGTCGCTTTTCTCCCTCTTACTCACCTCCGCCTCCAATGTACTTCGTAGGGCGCGTTTATGTCGCCCATGTAGAATTTCAGGGCGTATCGTGGAATGGCTTGAGAACTCATTAAGGGCAGGAAAAAAATCACCAGTCTGTGGAAGTGATGAATGTGCTGGAAAAGACAATTAAGACAAAAATAAAATGAGACCACTCGAATGAAACATGGAATTAGTTAAATTAGTAAAAGAAAAATGTGTGAATTCCAACCGAGTGAGAACAACCAACAATTGAGAGGTGAAAGAATGGAAAGTACACCCAAAGCAACTACCTAGAGCTATATGTGCATGTACTTACACACATACATATATGTAATCGCTTTAACACCTTTGTCAATGCAGAAAAGACAAATTAACGTAAATTTAGAAACGTAATGACATTTTAAATGCTAAGCGAACAACAACAAAAACTATGATAAAGATTTACACACATGTAGCAAACAGTTTCCTCCCTGCAGGGAAACCGCGAACTAGTGAATCAAATTTCTAATTCCGTACTAGAACTTTATCGCCAAAAACGAACCAGTTCGATAGTAACTAGTGTTATACCTATAAAAATTATTTTATTGTACCTTTTTTGGTGGCTTTTTCGTTCAAATACGCAGAATGGAACTGCACTTCCCAGATGCTTTGAGCTTGGTAATACAAAATAAAAATTTGTGCTAACATTTTAACATCTTGGGACCCTCTGGAATCTAACCAACAACAGCAAGCACCTCTGCAAACTCCGCTACAGCTAAAGGTATGTAAATACATTTCTTACAATTTAATTTCAAATTGAAAACACATTGCTTTCAAAATAACTTAAAATTGCACGCACGGAGGAACCAAAAAGATTGAAAAATCATAATACGTTTTTCTTTCGTCTGTCGATTTTAGATTTGGTTCGGAACTATAGAATTTAGGACTAGTTCGGATGCAGCGGGGGGCAATTGGCACTTCCTAGGACATCGCCATGTTCAATTCGCCAGTTACTTGCATGCAAAAGAGATTTATCGCTAACTAGTACTGGCTCTAAATATACTAGAAGCGCACCAGTTCGTAACCAGAGATTTTCCCCACAGGGCTCACATACATACATATTTACATACATGTACGTGAATCAGGCAGCCACATAATCCATTTACAAGGCTGTGATCCGAAATATTTTATGCCATAAATTTTCAAATGTGTACATGTATAGGAAAGTGGAGATGCACCAGCTGAACATTGACATTGACAGAATTTGGAAATCCAGATTTATGTATGTAATAGCCAACAAGCTGTGACACCGAATATGGGAGGTAAATGGAATAGGTACAGATTTGAATGACTGCTTGTGTGTTGTTGAAACTGGGTAAGACAACCGCTGCAACAACACACGATAATTGAACATGAGAAACTGTGGTTAGTCTCTAATTACAGGCATTAGATGGCAGTACAAGATGCGTGTCTACTGCCAAAAGCCGTATGTATGTAAACTCGATAATCGTTTTAAATTATCTATGAGTAGCGGTAGACTGCTGGGCAAAATAACACGACCAACTGGATTAACCCTTGGTGAACAATTATGTAGGTAATTATGTATACGCGCTGAGCATGAGCAGAGATGCTTGGGTAAGATAACTATAAGATAAACTGTAGTTTTTAGCCATTTGAAACTTGCCCTTTATTATAATAGAATTGAATGAGCTAAAAAACTGCATACTCATAATCTTTCTAGGAAATCTTATTAAAAAGCTCGACAATTTTACGAAAGTTTGTTGATTTTTTTAATATTGCATAAAGTTTGAAACTTGAATTTATCATATATGTAATACTCCTATATTGGCAGTAAGAGCTAGTACCGTCCGAAAACACTACAGTACAGAAATATCAATAAACACGTACGAAAGAAAAGGAACACATGCGTTTATAAATAAACATGTACACAACACATATACGAAAACGGCACTCAAGTACACAATACATTGACAAAAACGGCACTAGACTGTCTCGCTTTGATTTCGGAATGCTTACACATTGAGAAGTTAGCTTACTGCCAATATAGAAGTATTACATATATGGAATTTATACGGTTTATTTTTTAATAAAAAATAACTAAAATTAAAAACCAAGCAAAACACACAACTGACTCCAATTTTCAAATACAAATTTTGGTGTACCGTTAATTTCTTCATGATCCAATTATCGGATCTAAACAAAATCAGTATGGGACCACTCTTAAGTTATCACTTTTCGATGAATTATCGAAATCGGTTAACGTGGTCCAAATTTATGCGGTAACATATATACAAAAAAAAATATAATAAAAAATCTGACGAATTGATAACCTTGTCCCTTTTTGAAGTCAGTTAACAAATAACAAATTATGAAAGCTTGTCAATATCTATGTGGTACGGCTATAATTTTTTTGACCACTGTACATGTACATACATATTGAACTTATAACCCACTATCAATGCAACTCGGTAATTTGGTTGAGCACTCTAAGATTTGCGATAATGACGAATAATGAGCGAATTAAATTTGCATCTACTGACTGTGGCGAGTTATGCGGCAAAATAGAAGTAAAATTGTCACAACGCGTAAATAACAATTGTTTAGTGGTAATAACAAAAAGTACACGTAATTGACATATGCTGACATCACCGACAGTTTGCTAGAGAAAACAAGAAAACAGTTACACGAAAGAACGAAAAAAACATACATACATAAATGAGCGCAACAACGCGTGCCGTAAAAGTTTAACCGTGTTGACAGCTAAAGTCAGAAAGCTTGACAAGAAAAAACTGAAAATAGACTACATTTTTTAAGTTGTCAAAAACTTCATTTTAATCTTTTTGATGTTCAAAAGGTAAGGGTACAGCATAAACTTGAAACTTCAGTTGATGACAGCAAAGCAATGTTTTTGAAAGGTCAAGGAAAAAAGAGAAATGTGGCGACGCACAATGTGACGCCACAGTGTCCGAGAAAAATGTGTGTAAATATTCTCATATGCACATTTACATACCATACATATGCATGTGCATATGTAAGGACCCATTTGAATATTTTTCTTTGGAGCGCTTTCGAATCTCGGGGTTCAGGGAAAAATTCCCAGATTTTATACAATTGTTTTTTTTTACATCAATTCCAGTAAGGATTACATTAAAAATCGAACTGGCGCATTTTTTACATTTAAAACAGATACCTGCTATTGAAGAACTGTGTTTTTTACCATTCGCGAGATTTTTTCACTCATTTTTACACAACTCATGGATATGAGGTAGAATCCATATTACTTAGTACTGACTTATTCTCTTATTTTAGCCCGAACGCTGCATAGTGCGCCCAATTATTATCTAGAGAAAAGCTTCTTACTAAGCAGCCCTGTCGGCCGCTGGATCCAGACAACGCCACGCACTAAGGTGACAAGTTTTAAAAATAAATTTCAAAACTTTTAGACAAAATTTCATGGGAATTATGCGTGAGTCGCATGGATTTTCCACGTGCCAGCGGTGGAGCAAGACAATAAAGCGGCAGCAGAAAAAAAAAACGTTCGGCCATGACAACTTGGCGCAGTTTTGCCCCCATTTCCTATTTCTTCTATATTTTCTTTGAGTACCAACGGCGCGACGTGGCGGCATACATATGTAAAAGAGTGACGCACACCTAATTAATGCCGCACATGATTGAAAGTCCTCCGAGAACATTAATACCTGATACATGACTACATATATTTGTGCATATACATGTGTACATACATATATGTGTGCACATTTAATACAATTAGGTTGAATATATTAATTTAAAAAAATGTGCCGTGAAGTGTTGAAAATATGTACCTATGTGTGTAGATATAAACGAACATACATACATACATATATTTTGGGGACACGTTCTCTCTCTCTGTCTGGTTCAATGAAACTACAAGCCCCCACAAATTGGCTGCCATAAAGAGTGGCAACGGCGACGCGGATGATGAGTGTCATACAATTTAGGATTTAAAAAAAATTAAGGCACACTTTTCTATGAAAAGCGAAATGCTTTGGCTTTACGCACTCGTACATAAGAAAGTTTTCTGACAGATCGCATAAATTACAAAAATATTGGTCGTGGAAATGTATAGTTTTGTAGATATGTACATACACATGTATGTATGTGTACTCTTAATTTGTATGCGTCTTTATTACCATGCAAACATTCGAACGCATTTTAGAGTCAGAAAAGTCTAAGAATTCTTTATAACTATCTCAGAATTCTTTATAAATAATTCCCTTCTTAGGAGGTCGCGCTAATACGAGTTCAAGTTAGAAGTCATATACTTCTTCTTCTTATTTGGCTCTGTAACCACCTTAGCGATTTTGGCCGAGCTCAACAAAGCACACTAGTCGTTTCCCTTCTGTGCCCAATGTTGAAAATTGGAAATGCCAAATGAAACCAACTCCTTCTCCGCCTGGTCTTTCCAATACATCTGGGCCCTTCTCTTCCTTTGTTACCACCAGCGCGTTCCGAGTTGAATACTTTCGGAGCAGGAGTGTCTTTGCCCATTCGCACGACATTTCGAAGCCAGCGCAGCCGATGCATTTTAATTCGCTGCACTATGTTCATTTCGTTGTAAAGTTCGTCGTTCCATCGTTTGCGGTACTCACCGTCGCCAATGCGTAAAGGCCCGTAAATTTTCCGGAGTCATATTAAGGTTGAAATATGACGCCTTTTTGAGTCTTAAAAACGTTTACTTCTACGAAAACTTTGTTACTTTTGTTCAACTCAGAATTTAAGACCCCAAAAGAGTCCGGATGAGTCAGTATTGTTGAAGAGGTACTACAGTGTTGAGCTCCCTGAGTCTGAATGCTGGCTTAACTCCAACTTGTGCCTCCAAAATTGACAAGGTCAAGATCTGGAGTCTATATCGAAAGTAACGGAGGCAATCTTCACTTGTGGAAAATAAGTGGAGAAGCAGGAGCCCTCTTAATACTTTCAAATTAGTTCGGCAATGCAAGTCCTAAGTGGGTGCTAGATTACTCGGGAGTAACTGCTAATGAGGCATCTGTCATCTGGCTAGGAAAGGCTCAGATCAGGCATTACTTGATTTGTTACCAGTTGCATCACTCGCACCTATTTAAGTCAGTTCTTTTGTCAGATATTGCTGCGG